ATGGATGAGATTAGATTCAGATGGAAGATAGATGGATGGGATTGAATTCAGATGGAAGGGAGAGGGATGATAATGGATTCAGATGGAAGATGGATGAGATCGGATTCAGATGGAAGATGGATGGGATTGGATTCAGATGAAAGATAGATGGATGGAATTGAATTCAGATGGAAGGGAGAGGGATGATAATGGATTCAGATGGAAGATGGATGGATGGGATTGGATTCAGATGAAAGGGAGAGGGATGAGATTGGATTCAGATGAAAGATAGATGGATGAAATTGGATTCAGATGATAGATGGATTGATAGGATTAGATTCAGATGGAAGATGGATTGATGGGATTGGATTCAGATGGAAGGGAGAAGGATGAGATTGGATTCAGATGAAAGGGTGAGGGATGGGATTGGATTCAAATGAAAGGTAGATGGATGGGATTAGATTCAGATGATAGATGGATTGATAGGATTAGATTCAGATGGAAGATGGATGGATGGGTATTGGATTCAGATGAAAGGGAGAGGGATGATAATGGATTCAGATGGAAGAAAAAGTAAAATTAATAACTAATAAAAATTTTAAATTTTCCCAAAAATGTAAAATGGGACAAAAACGAAAAAAAAAAAGAAAAAAAAGGAAAAAAAAAGAAGATTAAATAATCGTTGCTCCAAAGCATTTTTATATTATTTGCGTAGCTTTTGTAGACATTTTTTTTTTTTTGGTAAAATAATTCTCAATTTAAACACACTAAATTAACAATTAAAAATAATGAAATCAATTTTTAACATACATTTATTTTTTTTCATATATAAATAAAAATTTTAAATTTAAAAATGAAAAAACTAGCATTGATACTTTAGATATTCACTAAGATATGGTTAATATTTATTTTATATTGAAATAAAATAAAAAAAAAAAAAATATATGAATTTGAGCAAGAAAAATGATTGATAACTTTTCTTTCCTTTTTTCCTTTTTTTTTATGAGTTATTTATAAGTTTTGATTGGATGAAAAATTTTTCTCACTTTTATTTCTCTTATTTTTTCTTTCTTTTTTTTTCTTTTCATATTTCAGCAACTTTTAACAATTTTTCAATCATCAATTCAAAAATTTTAAAAGTTAATTACAATATTTTATTATTTTAATATTTTTTTTCAAAAAAAAAAAACTTTTCCATCTTCATTTAATTTTAAATAATAATTGCTATATTTTTGTCATTTTGTAGTGTGTAATTAAACTTTTTTCTTTTCAGTTCATCGAAAAGTTAAATTTATCAATTTGTTTCATTTCAGTTTTTTTTTTTAATTTTTAATTTTTTTTTTGGTTATTTACCCGAAAGAGATTTACCCACATAATAATATTTTAGATTTTTCAAAAATGTTAAATTATTATTTTTTTAGTAAAAATGTAAATTAAAAAATTAGGATGATTAATATATAATATATATACATATTATATTAATAAGATAATATATAAATAAATTATTTAAAAATGATTTTTAGAGATTTCTAAAATTTCTAAAAAAATTTCTTTGAAAAAAAAAATTTTAGAGTGACTTAAAATTACTTTAAAATAATCAAAATTACACTGATAATCCGTATGGAAAGGTTTTAAATTTAAATGAACAATCTGTTTCATTGCTATTTAATTATTTTATTTTATTTATTTTATTTTTCTCTCCTATTTTTTTTCTTCCCTTCTCTCTCTCTCTCTCTCTTTGTTTTTTATTTGGCGAATTTGTTGAAATACAGTTTGATTCATTACAGAAAAGTTTATTTTACAATAAGTTTTTTTTGTTAATTTATTCATTTTAATTAATTTAAAATTATATTATATAAATAAATTAAATATTTAATTTAATATTAAATAATTATTCTTTTTACAAATTGTTATATTTAATTTCATTTACAAATAGTTGCAAAAATGTTTGAGACGAAAAATTTTTTTTTTTTGTGTCAAACATTTTCATTAAATTAAAATTATTTGATTGAATATTTCATTGTTCTTTTCTTTTTGTACCATTCTTTATCACAATTTCTTTCATGATAAATATAATTTGAAAAAGACTTAAAAGAGATTAAAATGTTTTCAAAAAAAAAAAAAAAAAATTAAACGAAAATTGCGTCTTCGCGTTTTTAAAATATACTACGACGGTAAACTAATTATTTTAATTAATTAAACTATACTAATTATTTTTTTAATTAATTAAATATACTAATTATTTTAATTAATTAAAGTATACATATGCTTGTTATTTTAATTAATTAAACTATATACTAATCATTTTAATTAATTGAACTATACCGATCATTTTTAATTAATTGAATATACTAATTATTTTAATTAATTAAACTATATATATACTTGTTATTTTAATTCATATTTAATTAATCATATTAATCCAAATTTTTCTCTCTTAATTTTTTTTATTTTAATTAATTAAGCTATATGATATACTAACTATTTTAATTAATTAAGCTATATGATGTACTAACTATTTTAATTAATTAAACTATACATATACTAATTATTTTAATTAATTAAACTTTATATATATCCTTGTTATTTTAATTCATATTTAATTAATTATGTTAATCCGATTTTTTCTCTTTTAATCTCCTTTTCTATTTTAATTAATTAAACTATGCATATATATACTAATTATTTTAATTTGTATTTAATTAATTATATTAAATGTTTACCATTAAATTAAATTAGAAGGCTTTAATTTGTTTACTGATGTTCAATTTGTTTATTTCATAAATTAATCAAATGTTTATTTTCATTATCAAAATTAGCACTACTATTTTTCATAAATTTTAGCTATATTTAAATTTTAAAATATCTCATAATATAGTACAGAATATTTTTAATTTTTTTTTTTTTGATAATTAATTATAATAGAATGTTATCAGTAACATTGTTATCATTTTAATTGTTATCTTTTAAAATTGTTATTTTTGATATAGAAAACTATATTCCTTATCTTTTTCATAAATTCTTTTCTTTTTTTTTTTTTTTTTTAAAAAAAAGAAATCGATCATTTCCATATTTATCTCAAAAGATGATAAAAAACAAAGGTTAGTGATATGATAATTTATTTTTTATAATTTTATTATATCATTCTGATAAAAAAAAAAAAATATGATAAGCAGTTATAATCTTTTTGAAAATTTATCAAATTAATCTAATCTATATAATGTAACTTAATACAATCTAAAAAAATAACCTATAATTTTTTTAAAATTTATAATTTAAAAATTTAAATTTTAATAATTTATAATTTTAAATTACTAAAATTAAAAATTATTTTATATTTTTCAATCAAAAATTTGAATTTTTCTCTCTCAAATTTAAACAAATTTAAATTTAATTAAAAAATTTTTTTGTTTCTCAATATTATAAATAAAAATTTTATTTTCTCCAAAAAAATATGATAGTATTTTTTCTTTTTTTTTATTTTTTATTATTATTTCCATTTCGTATTACAAAATTTTGTGCTTATCTGACTGTGATCCTTCAAGTATTTAAGTATTTAAGTATTAATTACTTTTAATTACAATTAACTTTTTGTTTTTTTCTTTTTTATTCTTTGCTTAAATTTATTTTTATTTCTAATACTTTTTTCTTTTCTTCTTTTTTTTTCATTTTTAATAATTTTTTTTTTGTTCCTTTTTTTTTCTTAAATTTTAAAAATTTTTTGATTTCTTTTCTTTTCTTCATATTAATTCTTTTAATTCAAATATTAAATTAAATGTAATGTTAAGTAATTTTTACATGCCAATTTCATCTTTAATACTAAATTACAATTACTTTAATTAAAAAAAAAAAGTGAAAAATGAAAAAGTTAAAAGTAATTTTATTTTTCTTCTTTTTTTTAAGTTCCAAAAATAAAATAAAATAAAATCTTATATTTTTTGCTAAATTTATTGAAATTTTTATTTTAAATACTATCATTTTTAATATGATAATAACTAAATTAAATTCATTTTATTCTAAATTTTTCATTTTTTTTTCAAATTTTTTTTATATGAAATTATTAATTAAATGTAAAAATTAATTTCTATATTTGAACTAATAAAAATTTGCTTTTTTATTTAAAATATAATTATTAAATAATAATAAATCATACAATTTTTTTTAGCATAAATTTCTTAATTTCTGTTCATTTCAATAATTAAAATACAAAAATTTAAAATTTTTGGAAAAATACAAATTTATAATTTAAGAATCGGTAAGATGAAAAGAAATGAAAAAAGCAAAAAAATAAAATAAATTCAACAAATTTGTAATTAAAATAAAAAAAAAAAAAACATTTGCTAATTATTTATTTATGTTTACTTATAGTAAATGAAAAGTTACTTTCAATTGATAAGTGAGTAATTTCAAAAGTTAAAAGTATAATTAAATCGATTGATCAGTTATCAATTATCAGTATCAGTTAATCAGTGATTGTTGCATCATTAAAAGCTAATTCTTTTCATAGCTGCTAAATAAATGAAAAATTATCGATGCAAATTTCACATTGATTATATTTTATATTATTTTTAACATTTTTTAAAATTAATCGGTAAGATGAAAAGAAATTATTAAAAACAAAACCAAAAAAAAATGAATTCAACAAATTCAATATTTGAGAATGAAATGATCAATGAGAAAATTGTCATTTAAAAAAGTAAATTTTGTATGTGACAATAAACGATAAACATTTTAGTGATAAATTCTAAAAGTATTTTAACAATTTGAATTTAAATAAACAAAGAAAAAAAAAGATGGTAAAGGTCACTGAGTAGCCATTGGTCAACAAAAATTCATATTTTTCTCAAAAAAAAAAATACAAAACGAAATAAAATAAAACTTTTGAAATTTAGGATAAAATAGTTTTTGAGAAATTCATTATATTATAAAATTATTATTATTATTTAAGAGTAAACAACCCTAAAAATACTTTCTCAATTTGAATTTAAATAAAAAAAGAAAAAAAAAGATGACAAAGGTCA